GAACTAGTTTATATGTATAGCCTTGAGTTCAGGGTGGAACTTATGATTCTTTTTAGCAGAGTCAATCAATGCTTGACAATCTTGAAAGTCGCCTTGAGCCTTGACACCGTTGCGAATCCAGAGATGTGAACTAATGCATTGTTCAATGGTTCGAGGGGCAAGAGATCCACGGGAAGAGGTGCAAATGTCAGCCGCCGCCGAAAAGGTTCGCTCCACACATGCCGAACTACTGGCGCAAGCAAGGTAATCCCTTGCTAGGGATGATAGCACAACAAAAGAAGGTGATTGAGCCTGAAAAATTGAATAAATTTTTTAGTTCCTGTTCGTATTCTGTGATTGGGACAATTCATGAAGTACATACCTTCCACCATGACAAGACATCACCTTTGATGCCAAGCGAAAATTTAGACTCGTGATATCGGATGAGTTCTTCTTTGCTTTTGTCCTGTCCGGAGCAGGTTGGATAGAAGTTATAATCTTCGTCCTCGGCCAAGATCTCAGGTTGTGCGCTGTCTTTGTTTGATAGAGGCAACAGTGGCTCGAGTAGGGCTTGTCGTTCCTCAAATTTATCGGTGAGAAGTTTTTGAGCCTTTGAATGATGTGAATTGAACTTTTTCAAGAACAAAAGTAATCGCCAAGCAGGGTGGAGCATGGTTGCCATCAAGATCGGTTTGCATTCGAGAGCTAGATTTTTATATTTGTGGGCAACTTTGATCATAGGATCAAACATTGCCTCCAAGGGCCCGTTCTGGCTGTCCCGCTTCAATTTCTCGAGATTCTCAATCAAGCGGCTATATTCGTATAGTACCATTGTGCACGATGGGCCATCACCCTCCATCCGCTTGGTCAATAACAAGAATTCCTGAGAAAGCAAAACGAGATGACTATGTCACTAATCAATCAAATATAGGGCTGTATGTATTAATAGTCAACTTACCTTGAGCACCGAATTGAGTACTTTGACATTTTCCCACTCCTTGGAAGAGAACTCGTATCCATTGAACGTCTTGCGATTTCCACTCTCGGATTCGTTGACAAGAAGCTGATTAATCACCTGACAGAAACAGTAGTCAGTTATTCAATGGTGCCATTGAGCACAATGTGATAAAACCAGACAAATCTCACTTTTCTTGCCATGTATGCTCGGTTCCTACTGTCGTAAGCGATATTCCACTGTATTCCATAGCCCCCAATGATTCCAGGTCCTTCGTAGCCGAGCTTCTGAGCCCAAACTTTGAACTCAGATTGCTTTGCAGGAGAGCTTGCGATGCGGCGACAGACATAGTCAATCTACAAGTGAGAAAGCACATCGAGGTGAGTGATGAGAAATGAAATGCAAGATAGCGAGGTGAGCAAGTGAGGTGAGCGATGATAAATGAAAAGCAAAACAGTGTGATACTTTTTTCAAAGTGAAACCGATCCCACTCTCAGCGTATTTTCCTTTGGTTTTGATCGTCTCAGATGACTTGCTGTTTCCATCGGATTCAGCATCACATTCGGACAAATCATCCGGATCTATCTCCTCCTCCCCATCAGATGCTGGATCATCTTCTAGAAGTTCACCCTCCTCGGTGATTGTCTCAAGCGTAGGAAACGATTCGGGTTTTCGTGGAGTGGGGCCCTCATCAGTCGACAGCTTGATGGCAGTAAGGCCCGCTCCCAAAATCAGTGCGAGCACATGACAGAAGCATCGCTGGTGATTTACCGCATGATCCCAGAAGGTCCCGTCGTTATCGCGCATTAAGCGAGATAGTTCAGAAGACATAGTGAAGTTATTAGAACCGGAGTCGGTTGTTTTGGCTAGGACGTAAGAAAAGGAAAATGACAGTAATTGTCATGTCAGAACATGGATTGATCGTTGTGAATCAAAAGCACAGACTTATATTTTTATGTAGGTTGTTCTTTATGAGGACCCTTGCAAACGGCGCGGCCAGATGCTTACCCTTGTGATTCCAAGAGATGTATTTGATTGCCAGGTGCTGTGAGCAATAAGTCCAATCTTTAGTGATGTAACACGCTGAGATCCCGATGAATGCCTTATGGCCTCCTTTAGTAGTCCAAACATCAGACACAAGGCTGATTTTTGAGTTCGCATTCTGAGGAAATCATTAGAGATTTGCTTTATCAGCTACAGCTTACAATTATTACAAAAAGAAACAGAAACGATATCTGGAATAATTTTTGGTCAGCTCACCATGATTTCAGACAACACTTCTTTCTGAAGGACCAGATAAAGGTTCTGAGCAGTGATCAAGGCCCAGGTCCGTGAATGAAGCTTGGTATTACTATCCACATAGTCGAAGCTCATACGTAACATTTCATCTTCAAATCGAGCCCAGGGTAGTGAATGTCGAATAAGCCAGAACACCATCATTTTGTTCAACGTATGGTTGTTGAAACGACCCTTGGTTACAAATGCCGACATTGCTGTTCCAGACTTCTTGTCGGTTTCAGATGATTCTTGAGCTCTTTGAGCTGCAGACGGAGGTAATTTGCAACCAGATGCAATAGCTCTCGATCGATTGGGGCAAGCAGCTCGGATCGTTCCTTTACAGTCGGCCCCGTCTCGGTGAATTTTCAAGTTATAGTATGACGAGTTAGATGCTTTCACAACCTTGGTGCACCAAATGCAGGTGTAAGAAAGAGATTGATCGATTTGATTGAAGTAAACTAGTACGCTGTCGGTGCCGTCCTTCCGAGGGGCAATCTTCCTTTCAGCTTTGGATTTAAGTGAACGTCCAGCTATTCGCCGGTTTTCTTCATCTGAGTCCTGAATGATGTCGTAGAGTTGTTCGGATTCAACAGAAGGGTCTGGCCTTGACTGTGAGGGCCGGTCAGTCTGAAAAACAAGGGTAGAGTCAGTTACACCCATTGATTAGTCTAGCCCTGCCACCAAACAGTAAGATAAACAAAAAGAAATACCTGGGATTCGGACTCGGGTACAGGACTTGAACTTGTAGGAAGAGTTGACTTGGAACCGCGAGTATTTTGGCGAATAGGTTCAGGTTGTCGGAGGGATTTGCGAGAATCCGCCTGGGTCACAACAAAACCCGGGGTGACAGTCGGATTTTTCTTGCGGGCAGATTGCCTTATAGCTTGCAAGTTTGGTGGGATGCCCTCCGTATCATCCGGAGTGACTTCACGGTTTGGCAGTGTCATTGTACTGATGTTTGGATTTGTACAAGGATATACATCCTTCTACACCTGAGCTTAAATGGCCACCCGGGATCTGGCCCGGAAGTCTGGGACTCAGCATGACTTGTGGGCAGTCAGAAACTATTAGGTTTCCAGCTTTTTGGGAGCTAATAGCGAGTAGCGCACTGAAACCGCTATATAGCGCACAGAAGCGCACATAAGCGCTACTGCGCTAAAGCTCCGCTTTTATGTAGCGTTAGCGCCAAAAAATCGCTCCGCTGCGCGGAGGCCTTATTTTTTGTAGCGATGGCTGCGCTGCGCTGACGCTGATTGTAGCGGCTGGTGCGCTTGCGCTTTTGCTATCTGCCTGTATGAGTAGTGATCTGTCACTACGCTACACTAATATGCCGCTTTTTGTAGCGTAGCGTAGCTGTTGCGGTGTTGTCAAGATCTATTCATCCCAAGAGTAGTTCCACACTGTAATCCGCATCAGCCCATCCAGAAAGACATTCAGAAGGACCTCTAGTGAAATTAATTCCAACCTTCTTTGTTCCACATAAATATCACATCAAATGCTTAACCATTGACCAATGTGCCTGAGTAGGACTAGAAGCAAATTGAAATAGAATATTCACAGTAAAAGTGATATCCGTACAAGTATTAAGGGCAAGATAATTCAACATTCCTATAGCATGTTGCATTACTTTCACATCAAACGGAGGCAAATTGAAAGCCATAACACCATGAAAATTCAAAGGCACAGAAGCCTTGACCGGATTTGCGTCCACCATGTCAAAATATTTCAGAATTTTGTGAATAAAATCAGATTGATGAATGAAGAGATAGCCGTCAGACTTCCAAACAAAAGTGTAGCCTAAATGTTGAGTTGGACATTTCTTGATTTTCAAAACATAAGTTTGTTGAAGATTTTTCAAAAAATTCAAAATGGAGTTTCTAGATTTCCCAACAATGAGACCCTAATCTATGGAGGTACTGAACAGCCATTTTGGCCAAAAAAAATGAAAACATGGGGATGAACCGCCACTTTGGCCAAATAACCGCCAAATGACGGCCCTGAACCGCCAGAATGGCCAAAGTGAAAATTGAATCTAACCGCCAAATTGGCCACCCATGCTCCTGAACCAACATGATTGCTCCTGGACCGCCAAACATGGCACTGATCCGCCAAATTAGCCATGTATCCAAGGGGTTTGTGACCTCATCTCAACCCCTTGGACTCTACACCCCCCATCAATACACCCAGTCATCCATGGGAGTGGAAGTACACCTCCCATGGATGATAAACACCCCCATCAAGGACTGATTTCAACCAGTCCTTGATGGGGTAAGCCTCCCATCAAGGGCCGGTTTGGACCTTGATGGGAATAAACAACCCCATTGATGACCGGTTTTGACCGGTCATCAATGGAGGACACACTCCCATCAAGGACCGGTATTGACCGGTCCTTGATGGGAGGAAACACCCCCAAACACCCCCATCGATGACCGGTCAAAACCGGTCATTGATGGGAGTCAACCCCCCCAAACATCCCCTTGGATGACCGGTTATGACCGGTCATTGATGGGTTTAAACACCCCCTTGGATGACCGGTTATGACCGGTCATCAATGGGAGTAACCCCCCCCCCCAAAAACACCCCCATCGATGACCTGTCAAAACCGGTCATCGATGGGAGTCAACCCCCCCCATCGATGACCGGTTTTGACCGGTCATCTGTTGGGGTGTTTATTATTTTCTTTTTTTGGCTGGTAGTGGTGAAAGTTTGGGGACAAGATCAACGCCTTGATCATATCCAATACCAATCCCTAATCTCGGCCGTCCGGCAATTGAGAGCGACCTTGTCGATGGTCAAACCGAGCCATCTGGAAGGGGGGGATGAATGGGAGAGTCGCTCGACGGGTGGTTCCCTGGACATCCGCTCCTCGACATACTCCGGACATTTGAATCGACGGGCTAAGGGGGGAGTGGCCAATGGAGACAGTCGGCTGAAGAACGAGATTGAGTGGAAAGAGATCCCTCACTCTACTAATGAGCCGGTTTTGCCTCCGCCTGCTCATCAACAAGTCTCGTCGGACTCTTCCGAATCCTCGGAATCTGCTCGACGCAAACAAAAGTATAGGCAACGCACGCCTCGGCTGGATGATGAGGACGACGATCCAATTGACCCTCATCTGGTCAGATCCCATCCACCCGCCTCCTCCGGCTCTTCCACCCTCATCATCGCCGCCAACTCTCTTCTTCCGCCGGACACCCCTCCTTCGTCGATAGAGACCCTCGCGTCAAAGGCCATTGGATCGAGTTCATCGATCAGTCTCTTCCTGATCCCGCTCTTGCCTCCCATCCTCAACTTCCTCCAAATAATCATGGGGGTGTTTCCCCCATCGATGATCGGTTTTGACCGGTCATCGATGGGTGTGTTTACCTCCATCAAGGACCGGTTAAAACCGGTCCTTGATGGGGGTGTTTCCCCCATCGATGACCGGTTTTGACCGGTCATCAATGGGGGTGTTTCTCCCATCGATGACCGGTCAAAGGTCATCGATGGGGGTGTTTGGGGGGGGGGGTTACTCCCATTGATGACCGGTTTTGACCGGTCATCGCTGGGGGTGTTTAAACCCATCGATGACCGGTCATAACCGGTCATCCAAGGGGGTGTTTGGGGGGGTTGACTCCCATCGATGACCGGTTTTGACCGGTCATCGATGGGGGTGTTTAATCCCATTGATGACCGGTCAAAACCGGTCATCAATGGGGGGGTTTGGGGGGGTTGACTCCCATCAAGGACCCGTCAAAACCAATCCTTGATGGGAGTGTGTCCTCCCATTGATGAAAATGGTCATCAATGGGAGGACTGTATGGCCAAATTGGCTAATGAATTCATTTTTTTTTAATTTTTATTTTTTTTGGCCAAAGTGGCGGTTCAGTACCTCCATAATAATCAACATGCATGTGAAGGAGAATTGATTTTTCGGAGTTGTGAAATAATGTGTCATCTAGTATTGAAGCCGTAAAACCAATTTGATTCAATGTTTCAACCAGATGTTGTTTCCACATGCAAGGAGCTTGCTTTGTACCATACAAATATTTCTTCAATTTCCAAACCCAGTTCTTCTTTGCCGGATCAGGATCTTCAAATACTAGTACCTGAAGGCTGAGACACATAGATTGAAGCATTGATAAATTGAAAAACTGAATAGTTGTTGTTGGCCGCCAAGGACAACATCATCTTGAGTGATTTGTTTTGGGCAACTGACAAACATGTTTCAAAATAGTGTAACATGTTCTTGATGATTTCCAAATACGCCCCAACAAAAAACAAAACAAAAACAAAAAAAGGCCCCCCTTGGCCTAGAGAGCAGAGTCCTGACAAGCTGGTGTACATACCAGCTTTTTGGGAGGGGTTCCTCCCGGAGAGCTGGATTTTAAACCAGCTTGTCAGGAGGAGTACTCCCTCCCGGAGAGCTGGATTTTAAACCAGCTTGTCAGGAGGAGTCCCTCCCAGAGAGCTGGTATGTACACCAGCTTGTCGGAAGGGCATACATGTACTTCACATATAAAGCAACTGAGCGGTTTTGTGGATGAACAAAAACAAGTCTTGGCTCATGTAGTTAAAGCTGCGGTCAAACATCAATCAGTTCAATGGGGTGTTCATCACCGGCTATGATTGGTAGAGATGAAACCAGTTAGAACAACGTATTACAGCAAAGCATAGGCAAAATATGATGCTCACCTTAACCTTGCAGTATTTGGCCCAACTAGCACGGGGATCGGCAAACATGTCTTTGGCACCGGCTTTCACGACTTGCATGAAGGCACCAGCTTCTTTAGGGTGGGCTTTCAACCAATCTATTTATGAAGCAGAACATTGAAAAAAAATGGTCAGGAGGAACCCCTCCCGATAAGCTGGTACACACCTCCCGGCAAGCTGGTGTACATACCAGCTCGCCGGGGGGAACTCCTCTTGGCAAGCTGGCATGTAGATGCTTGTTGGGAGGGGTTCCTCCTGATGGTGTGGCCTCTGCCTTGCTAGGCCAAGGGAGGCCAGGATTTGTTTTCTTTTCTTTTTTTTTGAAAAAAAAATCCCAGTGTCAACCAGTAAAAGGGTGGGTATCCCTGGATACCCGCCAGCACCAGCGGATGCCTGATTCCACTGAAATTTTCAGCGGATATCCACATCCGCGTGGATATTCATATTTGAAGCGACCATCTCTAAACAGCATCTTCTGTGCATTTATGATAGAAGTCTGAGAAGTTTTGTTTATTATATAGTTATCCATTCTATTTGAACATCACAAAGAGAAAGGTTTCTTGGTAGATGTTTGAATAGATGATGTGAATAGACAAGCTCTAGGAACATATGGGGATATGTACAGTGGGTAGACAGTGAAAAGTGGCTGCTTATATTGGATTCCAGAGCTGTGAAACACAGACTTGAAGTCACAAGACTTGGTCAAGTGGTGCATAATAGGTCCCAGAAAATGAATATGAAAAAATAAAAACAAAAAATAAAGTCTCAAAATTGGTGAAAAATAAAAAATAAAAATGGCTTTTTTCAAAAGCTTTGATATGCATTTTGGGGGAGTGGGAGTGCTGAGAGAAAGAAAGATTGGGAAATGAGAAGAATGATTATACATGAAAACTTTGAATTAGTTTTTGCATTGTTTTGCTGGATGGATGGGGTGGGATAAGAAGCCCAGACAACCAAACATGTGGTTGGTATAGGACCCCGGCAAGCCCTAGGATAGGGGGGTGTTGAAAAAGTCCAAATTTTGGCAACATTCATACCCGGGGGCCCCGCGGGGAGTCACTTTTTTTTGGAAAATTCATACCTTTTCAAGAGTATGCTCCGGCTAAAATCCCCTAAAAAAGGGCAGACCCTGGTAAAATGTCCAATCTGGGGCCAAATACCAAGATTTTATTGGTTTAAACCAGGTTCACATACCTAACTAATATGGCCTCTTTCATGAGTACCATTTCAACAAAAATCACAAATTCATACCCATTTCAAGAGTATGATTTTGGCTTTTTTGCCATTTTCACATGCCTTTTTCAACACCCCCCTATTAGGCGGCTTTCCAGGGTCCTGTTGGTATAGAAGAACCCCAGCTGTGTCACAATATCCACCTTACAATCAATCCAATGTTTGTGGCACTCTCCCCCCTTTGGATAGAGACCAACTCTATACCTCTTGATTGCCACAAAAACATGTCTGTTTAGTTTCAAATTGTTTCAAGGTAAAAACATGAAAAATTGACTTGTCCCAACAGTGGCTTGAACACTGGACCTTCAGATTTGCCGGTTTGAACGGATCAACTGACTAGTACGCCGCGAAGATGATCTCCCCACTTCAGTCTGACGCTCTCCCAACTGAGCTATTAAGACCGGTCGATGACGTAACCTCTGTCCTTGCGAGTTTGATCTGAGATCAAAAAAACGTAATCTCATTTATCACTCATGAAAGAGTTGATTCTCTTGGGTATTGTAAATCGGATGTTGGCTCGAACGATCCTTGGAGGCTCGTTTCGTTTGCGCGGCTCAGGGAAAACGATCGGAAGGCTGTTTTCCGGTCACAGGTGGTGTTTTTCTTTATTCGGATTGCATTTTGATCAGGTTTGCATCAGAAAACAGGAAAAAAAAATGGTTGTCTATCGCAGAACTTTGACTTGTGTATTTACGCGACTTGAGTTAGCCATTCAACGAAGCTTGATGCATTGCTTTGGTTGGTAAGAAAGAAGAAAGGAGAATGAGCAATGTGGTGTCTTTCCCAAGAATGGACCGAGTTCCATTCCATTCTCTTCTTTTTTTTTTTGGTAGAGTAAAAGAGGGAATCAAATGAGAAAAACACTGACCACCATAACGCAAACCTTTAAAATCAGCCCGATCGACAAACCCGCGAATTTCGTGAACCTCTTGATCAGAAAGTGTGAGGTTGAGAGTCTCTAGAGTTTCTTGGACGCCCTCAGGCCGAGTTGAGCCGGGAATGGGGATGATCAAGTCGGATTGGGTGAGTAACCAAGCTAACACAAGTTGGACGGAGGTGCATTTCTTCTTCTGAGCTAAGGAGGTGAATTTATCGGCCAACTGTCCCGAAAACAAGTCATCTGATCATGAGTAGGTCCTTCCCTTTAATCGGTTTGTTGCTCATGACTCACTTTGATGTTGTGCTGGAAGTTTTCAGGCTGGAATCGATCAAAGTGGCGGCGCATATCGTTCGGGTCGAGGTCATCGAGCGATTTTATTTTGCCCGTTAGCATGCCAAGACCTAAGGGGCTGAGTACGATCCAGACACGTAAAATAATCGATTCAAAAGCATTTAGTCAAGAGCGATCCCTCAGTGCAATCTTGTCCATAACACGGCTTGGTGTAGCATACCTGTAGGCCACGATCGGGATCCGAAGCTCTTCACAAGTGGCCAGGATACCATTATGTTCAATGTCCAATAACCACTAAAAACAGACGTATATGCATTATCGATCACCTCGCGGTCCATCTGATTACGAGTTGTCCCTTTTTTTACGTATTTATATGTAGTTGGGTACCCACTGGAGAATATTCAACCTCGACAGCAGAAATCGGGTGAACGGCGTGGGCTCGGCGGATCGTTTCGGCTGACACTTCCGATAAGCCGACATGCTTGAATTTTCCTTCGTTGATCAAGATCTTGTAGCTCTTCATCACGTCCTCGATCGGTACCTTCTTGTCCACCCTGGCCATCTACAATACAATTTAATGCATGTTGAGAAATGTTCATGATGAGCTTCACATACGAAATAGGTACGTCTATCAAACTTTATCGGAGAGAGCCTTCAGGATTAGGGCACCGACCTCGAATAAATCCATCTTTTTCTTCCCTCCAAGTTTTAGATTGATGGTGTCGACGCTTTTCCTGAGAGCCTCGATCGAGCCATCTGGATGATTCATCTTGCCCCCGTCCAAGTTAATGCCACCTTTGACGCTGAGGAAGCATTTCCCCTCTTGGGCCCATTCAGGATAAGCATCGAAGAATCTCGCGAGCAATTCAAGGTTGGCATGTAAGCGATCCGGTCCATTTCCGTAGAACTCTCCAGAGTTGAGGAACCTTCCTCCGCCAGTCAGGAACGCATGGATCGTCTTGAAGGCTTTCTCATCTGGAGTTTCATTGGGTGCCCATGTCAAACGCTGAAGATGGATATGTTGTATATCCGTACGGATACATAACAGGGTTCGAACGAAAGAAAAGTGCATCATTTTAGTGACCACATGACTTTAAATGTACATAACCAGAGCTGCAGAAATCCAGCTGACCATCAAACCATAGCCAATCGGACAGACTGAGACCGGTTCGCCAGTCTGATGACCGAGCTTCCGTTGAGCGGTTATATCGATGACCATCCTGAGTGCAGGCAGTTCGGGTCGAGCTACAGGGGTAACGAGGAAGTCGGATGATGGAGAGGGAAAACAATCGATGGAAAATTCACTCTTCAGTTTCCTTGCTTCGTCTGGATTGGCCGGCAGCCCAACAATATCAAACCGCACCAGAATGGAGGACTTTCCTTCGATTCTACAGCCCCCTGTAGAAATAGCTCTGCAGAGCCTGTAAAACCGACGGGAAGTCCTCCAACGCTCGAGCCCGTCATTACCAGATCGCTAATCCTAATCAGTCTCACTGCAGCGAGTGTTACGCATGAGGGCCGCCGCCCGGACCCTGATCACACCACACTCACCCATCCACACCACTTTCTTAATCTGAAAAGGTCCCAATTTGTTTGACTCGGCTCTGCGGTAGGACCTCAGAACGAGACCTCATGTTTCAAACCTCCAATCTTCTTTATCCGCTCACCACCAACGATTGAGCCCTAATTTGGGATCTTTCCTATATCTTACCGTCGGTTGAGCTTCAGATTTTGGACTGCGGCATGAGCCCCATGAAGGACCGCGCCGTATGGGCCTTCACGCGCCATCTTGGACTCACCGGATCCAATGAAATGAGGGCACATCCCCCCCCCCCTCTCTCATTTCGTCCATGTTGACTTCTCCGCGGCCATACCCTGCATCGAGTGGCTGAGAAGCATTCTCCACTGGCATACCGCTTGTCCATCAGAACTCTTTCTCTCAGCGTCGGGATCTGATCATTAATTAACGACCTTGAAGTGCTACCAGATATGTATGTGACTTGCAAAGTGTTGAATATGAGGAAATAAATGAATCAAACTTTTGCCATGACAGCTGTAACTCTTTTGCCAATTGTGCTGAATGCTAACAAGGTCAAGATTGGTCAAGAAGCTGTTATTACCAGTAGTGCAATGATGGCTCCTCGGTAAGACTGTAAGACAGTAGATGGTATACACTTGCCATGGGAGACCGCTTGTGATATTAGAGAGTACCTACCTCTTCTGGGGGTTTTCAATCATCAAATTAGGATTATCAAGTACAGCTATTGTGTAAATGATTGCGCCGATTTCCGAACTTTTTTTTTTTTTTTTTCCTCGCGCGACATTTTTTTTTCCTCCGATCCTCGAAGCCCCGAGCCCGCCGGGTAAATTTGCAGGAGATTACCCACCGATTATCATGACCGACTCAGCCCGAAAAAAAAATTGTATAACTTCGGCTGATCGGGTGAAATCGGGTGGTCTCACCCGGTGTGTGCTCCGCGGTACTTTGCACAGGCGGGGCCGGGCTTCGAGGATCGGGGCAAAAAAAAAAGTCGCGCGCGAGAAAAAAAAAAAAAAAAAAGTTCAGAAATCAGCGCAATCATTTGCACAATAGCTGTATAATTCATAAAAGTCACCCTCAGTTTTTGAGGCACACTTTTGGTTTACTTGTTTCTCCCATTCCAGATTTGATTAAAATTGTGAAGAAAAATACTACTATTGAGTGCCATTGGTGGAAAGAAATCTTTTTAAAAATTGTCATGATGTACCTTTGAAACAAGGTCAGATTGGAATTCACTTTTAGTCCATTTTAAGTGCCATAGGATCATGCTTATTCTGCTCAAGGGTCATGAGTCATCAGGGTTGTCAAAGTCCAATAACGCATCGATCATCAAATAAGTCAGTTTTTTGCACTTGAATATGGGGAAGTGTTGAAAGAGCCTGCACACATCAACCGGCCTTGCTTACACTCACTAGTACTGTCACTAGTTCATCCTGAGAGGTATCCACAAACAGAAATTTCAAGCACGTAAAGCTAGTACACCAAATGGAAACAAACAAATTCTTATCTAATTTTACAAATCTTGGGGAGGCATTCAAAGAAAAATTTGAGGAATAATGGATCAACCGATAGCAAGGCAATTTTTTTGGCAGAGAGTTTCGTCACAAGTTGAATTCTGTGGTAGCAATTGCAAGCAGCCGGTCCCAGAGTGCTCTTTTGGAAATGGAGCCTCTTCCAATTTACAAGAAGAATTTGCTGCCTTTTGAGGCTTTTGGTCCAAGTATATCCGCCACTGCATCATATGAACGGTTGTCAATTGCAAGAACTGAAGGGGTCCAGATGGAGTAAAATCGATACTCACAGATTGCCATGCCACGGGAATCGCAGTCCAGGAACCGGAAACCGTTGGTAGCCACGTCGCGACACCGTGCCAATAAGGACTTGGTACGGAGCACAAGAACGCGTGTTAGAGCTGAGTTTATCTCGAACAGTAAGTATGCAATGTGAACTTACTCAATCATCATTTCATTCAACTTGAATATGGCCAAAAGCCAGAAAACCATGCCAGTAAGCATTCCGAGAAGGGTAGCAAAGGCTCTCATTGTCAACCGAACTGAAATTCCCGAAATGATATTTTGAATGAGTCCGACATATCGTCTTATGAATATCCCCAGAGCTTGTAAAATCCCTGTAGTGCTCACAAAACTGGGGATCTGAACGTAGGGTCTCAAGGAATGTTTTACTAGCTCGGCTTCCGCATGATCGCACAGACAGATGTTTGCAGTTGCCTTGTGATTTCCAAGAATCCGACAAATCGGATTGTAAGGTTGGGTTACTTGACCCACTGCCTTGCTGCTTGTACTTCTCAGTCAATTTCCAATATGACAAAACAAAAACCTAAATCGAAGGATCAAAACCCAGATGCATCAGCGGTCTATCTAGCTGAAAAAAGGGGGTCCATCGATGAAGGGTTCGCAGGCTGACCAGGCTGGTTGCAGGTATGAAAAATAACATGATTGATCGAACTGAGTTGAATCGATTCGATAGTTTCGGCACGAGAGTTCCAGTTTGCTGTAGCAGTGACTCTAATTCGGCCTGCGTTTGTGTAAGCTGAGATGAAAGACTTTCTTTTTCGTATGCAGAGTGAATAGGAAGCTGCAGTTGCTTCCAAACCTGGGAACCTTGATTCAAAGTGGCCCTTAGAGTTCTTGTCTGGACTTGAAGCTCATGATAGACCATGCTCATGCGGGTTACGACCACGATAGTCGCAACGGTAAGGGAGATTGGAAAAATAAGAAAGAAAAGGTTGATCGACAGCGGCGATCGAAGCCAGCCCAAGCGTCTTGATTTGACCGCGAAGGTCTTGTTGCTGTAATAACTATAGTTTAAGAATCATCCAATCAGTCTCACTTCAACAATTAATACTACAAGAAAATTGGCTTACAGTGCTAAAAAGCAATGCGTCATACTCCAATAGGAGTAGCTGTTGAAGATGAACATAAGACCTAAGCTAATGATAATATTCCAAACATCAGTACCTGAGGCTGAAGAAGGAAACGCAATTGATACCATAATACACCCAAGGAAGAAAAGACTAATGTAAAGACTTACGCCGGAAAGAATTGACAGCGGAGAGAGAAGTGTTCGGATAAATTCATCTTGATTTGCATCCAAATGTACGCTTGGGTAGTGACGGAAGCCAGAAGCTGCGAAATGGACATCAAAACCCCAGAATTGACCAAGTACAAGGGAGTCCTGTAAACTTTTTCAGCACAAAAACAAAAAGAAGAAAGAAAAAAAAAATAACGTAAGTCCATCAAATCAACACCCTGTGTGTTAAGCAAGGACCGAGACAGACGTTTTTCACCCGAACGAGAGTAGATATACAGCTTCTGAGAAAACCATGGAGTTCGCCTCGCGTTACCAACATAGGGTAAGACTAAGATGATCAAGTTGAACGCGGCGAGAAGGACATGAAAAACGAGAAAAACTGCCACAAGAACGATGGCGGATTGAGGCAAACGGGGCGTAAATCGACGCGTGGTGAGCTGAGAGATGTAAGCGAAAGGATCGACATCAGCTGGCAGGCCGCCTAGCGCGATGTCATGACTGAGTCCGCGTGTTCTTTTCATGAAGCCCCTCTATCCTACTCTATTCGACTTATCCAGTCAGCTGGTGAAGGTTATGGATGTGGAAAGCAACCGGAGGGAATAACTTTCGCAGAGTCGATTTTTTTGGAAGTGCGGCTGCTTCTGTGAATCGAACGTCTACATACATTCATCGGCAGTCATCACGGCCGGGTTATTTTATTGTGCAGGCTCGACAACTCATGTACTGGCAAATTCATGAGACAAATCGTGGGACGCGTCGTATCAATTTATTGCTGGAGGGCAAAACTCTCACCTTGTTATTGATCATACAAATACTTAAAAATTAGTTGAACTTTAGTGTGAATGTTGCAAGACTTGCTGATCATTGAAACTTAAAATTTTGGTGTAAGGTTGCAACCTGTTGCAACAGGTTGCAAGTGCCACTGCCAGGTACTGCCCTAATCTCAAGTTCCTGTAATGTAGTGTAATGTGGTGATCTCAAGATTTTATAAATAATAAATATTTGGTCATTTATATTCAGACAACACACTTAAATTGTCACGAAGTTAAACCTCGGTGTGAGCATTGCAATTCAAGCCTCCACCACTTTCTTCGTTTCCGGCAGATCAAGACCCGTCATCCACAGGTACGGCTAGGTACACGGCAATATTACAAAGGCAAACTTAATCTTAACGAGGCCCCGGAGGACTTCGAGTCCAAGCCGCTTGTGAGGATCGTTTTTGGGCCGAGACAAGCGCTAAGTCCTTGTGTCTACATATATCTGACTTTGCCACAAGCGTTTCCCCATGCGTACTGAAAGTTTGCACGCTGTACCTGTGCCAGTTTGCTCAGGGAAGTACAAAGACCTACACAGAGGCCATTTGTCTCGTAACACATGGCATTTGTATCAAGCTCACTAATGGACACCTAGCTTACCGAATCCCGGGAGCACTGTCAAGGAAAAACTTCACTACCTTGAAGCAGAGGGTCGAAGCAAAACTCCTTCCGTTCTTGTCCTCTTTTATCGGTCGTGATCTTCAAAATTGAATGGGAGAAGGGCTTTTTTATGTTCAAGCCAGAAGTCATTTCCTTCCTTCCTGACCGAATACAATGGATTGATGACAGATGAGTGGGCAATGATGTGCGGAACTTCCTGGTTGCGCAACCATACTTGTGCAGGAATACTTCTTTCGTAGTCCATCGTGTCACTGGCGACTTTCGTCGAATGTGAGCTCTTGCAGTCAATTCTCAACGGAAAGTCCTCCACTTCACGCAAAAGCCCGCAGAGCTCTCGCAGAAGACCACACGATGAATCAAAGTAACTTGCAAATGATAGCAGTAGTTTCCTGAATCTGGGGTGGTCAAGTCCTCGTCTGATCAAGCAAATGTTGTATGCATGTAACCTGCTGCAACCGACATCCAGGCATACAACATCTGCATCCCCCCCACGCTCTCAAAAACATCTTACACGCAAGACCTCGCTCCAAGCTTCCTGATCGTAGCGCGTGAATTCGCTTCAAGGTTTTGTTATGATCAGGGACGGTAAGATGTACATGAACATGTATTGTCTTTTCAGAGATACTTGGAGCCTCTCAATCTCTTTATTTTTGTTATGCATTAAAAAGTCTGTTTTATCTTGTTTTTTTCAGGGATTCCGTCATATGTATCCCACCTTTTGCTTCTCCCTCCCCGGGCCCTATCCAGCGACCCGATGCCCGGCCATGAGCTCCCCTCCCAGCCTGGTCGGATGTAGCAAGGGATGGCCGAGTAGGTGGTGGGATCAGGGTAAACTTGGCACCCTGATCCCAAATATGAGCTTCATTTTGCCAGAGCTCTTCTTAGGAAGAAACTAAGGCTGGATTGCATTGCCAGGTCTTGGGTCGGATCGCATACCTGTCCAAACCCAAACCTGTAAAATCAAAGTTTTATATCCAAGGCATGTGAGCGAGTGAATTCGCTTCAAGGTTTTGTATTGATGCGGGAAGGTTAGATGTTGAAGAACATGTAAACTCATCTCAGCACAAGGCCATCATGATGTACAACTAGACTCGTGCGAATATTGAGCTCCGGGACACAGGCTCACCACAGGTCGGTAGGACTGATGATCGGTACCAGACCCTGCTTGGTGAAAGGTTTGAATTTACCGCGCTGTTTCTAAACTTTCCTTCTTTCAGAAAAAAAGATGAAAACAAAACGGAAATTGCACAACTGGAAGCCGAACTTCAAGTATCCCTTTCCAACAGATGGAAAGTCCAATTTCCAATTTCAGATGAACTCGTATCATCTCGCGTTTTCGCGTTTTGAGCGTTTTTCGGTACATCTTCGTCTTATGACATTAGGCCGTCGCAATTTTCATCAATGCGGTCCATCAGTTCAATGGTGGGTTGCCTTATATAATAACTTCATAACAGGAGCCTTTCGGCCACCAATAATACTGATCAGAATCTGTGTATCACTCCAGAATAACTCAAATTACTTGTAAGCAAAAATTCTCAAAAAATGAAGATTTCTGATTCTCCTTTTTCTTTCCTCTGAGTCTAGATAGCATCAAGAATGATTGTTCCAAGATGTCTGATGAAACCTAAACTTTTCAAGAGGTAGTACTAGGGAAAGATTGAAAAGTTGCAAGTTCAGCCGTATCAAACAGAATCTTTAAAACGTGTCGGGCTTAACTGCAAAAAACAACATTGTCGGCAGTGTTGATGAGATCATCCTCACGCGTTGAGCCACACGTAGAAGCCAATTTTTGATGTCCAAAGGCTCAAGACAGGGGAAAAGAGAGGCTTCCCGGCATGGATGCTTGCAGCCATATATTGCATGCATCAACAAAGGTGGAGCCTCACACCCACCTGGAAAGGAAAAGTTGCATGTTTTTGTTTCACTGGTACAGTGGATAAACAGAAAAAAATCCTGCTTCATTCTTTTTATTCTTGAAAAGGAAAATTGGTCCTGAGAGAGCCTCTTTTCCCTGTGAAAAGAAAAACTTGAATTGTCATTCTTTTTCTTTCTACCCGATGTACAAGAGTTGTTGACTGGAGGGACAATTTTCCAGGCATAAAAGCTGGAACCCATAAAGTTTCATGTTTAAAGGTGGCAGCACCCATGGTTACCCATTGCTGGGCTCTCAGTGCTAGTGTATATTTAGAGCATCTGCATTGGTGCATGGATTAAGGATCAAGTCAAACCTGGATTAACACTAATCCACTTCAAACACATTGGTTGGCACTAGAAAAAAGTACTTGACAATAATCCTTGAACTATTCCTGTCAACCTCATTGGTGATCATCAGCTCAAACAACCATGCTGGACAAACATTTTCCATTTCCAGAATCCGACTTCATCACAAGACAGAAAATCAAACGCAGAAGACAGAAAATCAAACAGAGCCGTCTTTTAACCCAGGACCTCATGGAAAACAACTTTTATTTTCTTGATTCTAGTGATTCGGAGCCAGATATCCTGCCACAATCAAAGAAGAGGAGGCATAACTGTTGTTTGCATCATCAGAGACAGGTTTGACAAGGTTGGTTTGGACAGAGGCCAGGCTTGCTTGGGTGTTGAGTTGGGAAACAGCATTGGTTTGGTTGCTCAATTGTGGTGTTTAGTTGTTTGTTCTTTTGGGAGGCTTGTTTCCCGAGCTGTTGGGAGTTGAGGAGTACGTATCTTGCTACATTGAGTGTAGTTCAGGGTGCCTGATCCTGGGATTACTGGGGTATAAATTTGATACCCGCTAGCTCCAAACGTGATCCTGGAGCTAGTTTAGTCCAATCTAATCCAACCCAGTGTGGTTGGGAGGATTAGATTAGTTGGCTAATCCTCCCTAATCCATGCACCAATGTGGATGCTTTTACAATTCTAGCAAGATTGCACCCAGTCACCTGTTGTTAAGATATGGTGAGCTGTCCATAAAACTGAGAGCTCTTCAAGACCAAAAGATGTTATATACTGGTCATGGGGCTATGATTGGTGCATTCCTATCAAAAGCCATACTTCAAATCATAAATATGGTTTTGAATGATGTTCAATCACATTTTATAATTTCCAGACACCCCTGCTGTACATGTAGCATCTATCTCAAGTGCTTGAGATCTTAAAGCCCTTTCAATACCAAAGAAGTTGTGTTTTTTCCAACAAAAATTGGGGTTGGTTTATGCTGCCTTAAGATTTATTATTGAGGTAATACCAATGGTAGCCCAATGTGTTACAATACAATATTTCTGCCCTGTTGGGTGACATATTGGCCTGATTTTCTTGTTCTTTTACTTTTGTTATTTTCATCAAAAATTCATCAATTTTACAATAGCTTACAATACTTTACAGCCCAATAAAGGCTATATCATCTGTTATCAAGGGCTTTTTTTGAGCCCTAAATGTTATCATTATTGAAAAAAGTAATATTTTTGATCACAATAACATTTAAAAGTAAAAATGTTTTGTTACTCCACATTAATTTAGCAACACCTGTTCAAGTATTGGCCCACTGTTTATGATACCAAAAATAGCCAAATAGTTATAAGTGGTTTTTCCCATCATGGGGCCTGACAATATGCAATACATGTATTGTGATT